AGCCCAAATGGAAAATAGAGCTTCAGTAATTTTATACTGATTACTTGGTAGAAAAGAGTCTACCTGGTGCCACTTCTGATTTATGGAACAGATTGGACTTGTAATGAGAGTCCAGATATAACTGACCTCTTTTGAAGGAAGTCACAACCTTTTCTTGATGTACTTCATGGGTAGACTCATGAATAAATTATCACTGTGCAGCTTTTCATTTTATTCTGTAGCTCATTCTTATGTTTAGAATTATTTAAATTTCTCCATACGAATAGAAAGCCATAGAATGAAAGTGTAATTTATTTCCTTCTTTTACTGCTCCTTTCCTACATATTTTTGGTTTTTTTTTAAAGTCATATGTTATATTGTATTTTTTCTTCTCAATAATTCCAAGAGGAAAAATATATTTGGAATGAACTCATTTCCATGGTATTCTCAAAGTGAAAATTTCAAATGCTTAAATGTCGTCCTCAAAAAAACTAACATAACAAATCTACTGACCTCTGTAAGGAGGATGCCATAAACTTTGTTGCAGCATGTACATATGGCCTTCAACAATATTGAACTTCAAAGAGAGTCCAAAAGTTTCTGGTGTATTGAAATTGTTGTGTTCAGTTGAAAGAAGTGGGTTATAACAATGCAATTATTACAGTATTTGCCGAAATGAAATTTAGACCATGCTAATATACAAAGAGAAGGTAATTTTCATCAAGCAAAGTAGGTACTGGAAAACCTATTTTAGATAGCTCTGTTTTGATGGCTATGTTTAACAAGTTATTTTTATAGATTTAATTATACACGTCATAACTAGAGTACGCCAACTTTCTGTCTCAATAATCACATTTTCTTAATATATTGATTAAGGAAAAACAAGAAGTCGCATTTGGCAATGAAACTTTGGATATTTATTAATTATGATAAATCTATGGCTTTAATACAATTTTTAAACATATTTTATCATATCTTAAAGATTTTAAACTGTCGCTTTCATACTTAGTTCAATCCTGCAGTGAATTGTGAAAGTAATGAATGAGGGCAATTGAATGGCTCCTCTTGCATTTGCACTCAGAAAAACTCTCTCGGTCATCTATATATAACCAAGTGAGTTTGTGCAAAATATATTTAGAATTGTAAAGTAACATATATTAAGGCAGAA